TTTTTTTCCTTTTTTTTTTTTTTGTTTTGTGCCTTTTTTTTTTTTTTTTTTTACTGCTGAAACTGTCAGATGGGTTAAAATGATGGCTTTTGTCAGCAGTAACCAAAGACCGACGGGCCAAACTGCCAGGGCCTGCCACTGCCTTGCTGCTTGCCCGCCTCATGCCGCCACCGTTAGAACCGGTGAGGGCAGCAGTGGCCTCCCTGAGAGTGCCCTGGGGGGAGCCATGCAGGTGGGTGGGTGCAGAGGGTGGCCCCAGCCCCGAGCTGTGCTGGTGGGGCAGCAGCTGAGATGGAGGGCCATGGAGGGAGTTGGGGCCGGGACGCCAAGGACGTGGGGGAGGCTGCAGGTGGGCAGCAGCTGGGGCTGAAGGATTGAAGTTACCCAGCCTTTGGGTTCCCAAACTTGATATATTCATCAGCCCTGGCAAAGCTGGTGGTAATTAATATATCATGGGCAGCAGTGAAGTGTTATGAGAAGATTTTCACTTGGGATTGTGGCCTGCTAGTAGGGTAATACTGCCTCAGTAGTCCAGCTTCATACAATTTACATACATACCAATTTATGTTGGATCACTTTTGCCATTGCTTGGCTCCTTTGCACCCTCACCATCAAATATCTTCTCAAGTTTTTGACACACACTTTCATTTATTTAATCTGTGCATGTTACTGCAACCATAACACTAACTTTTAAAACATTGATTTAACTCGATTTGTTAAAAAATTGTTAAAGGTCTGCTAGCTTCTGATCTTCTTTTACTCGAGACTAGTGGAATTGACAAGATTGACAATCTAGATTGACAAGAGCCACCTCTTTCTGTTATGTCTACTGTGATCTAGGATTCTTGATGTTTTTTTTTTCTTTTACATTTTGCAGATGTAACAGTATCTAGAAAATGTCCAATGTACAATTGGTTACACAAACATACTGAACGTTACAAACATTAAACAGAAATAGTATGAAATACACCATTTAAGTAAAATACTATGGAAAGATTTTATGTAGGACCTAAATCTACAGAAAAACACAAAATGTCAGAAACTTTCCTGGCAAAAACTGGCCAGTGCTTATCTTCTAAGTTACCTACATTCCAGTTCTGTTGCAATAGACCCTTTTGTTGTGTGCTTTTGAAATTATTTGTCCAGTTATGATGACGATTTTTATTATTGTTTTTAATGCCTCATGATTCTTCGTAATTCTTCTGCTATGGAGAAGGATTTACGTTCTGCGAAGTGGGGAAATCTGATCCTGACTTAAGTCAGAAAATCATACACTAAAGCACTTATGTGGAGGCCCAAGTACATGTGCATCACTCGTGTTTCTTCAGTGGCTCCCTTGGAGGAGTAGTCCTCTTAGTTCTGTGGAATTTTTGATACCTTACATGTACCTAAGTCAAAATGCTGCTTTGGTAAAGGGTTAAAAACTTGCAGCAAGACTGACCGTAAGATTTATTTTATGTAAGTAAACCCTGGGGAATTACACTGCAGCAAAATCTTCATTTGGGTTTTTCCTATTCCAGACCCACTAGCAACTGTCTAATTCATTAGATTTTATATGGAGCTTCTCTTTTATTTTTTCCAATGGATTATACCAATTACTTTTCAACCCAAAAAAAAAAAAAGGAGAAAACATCACTTAACCTTAATTCTTTATTTATGTTTTCATATGTGGATAAAGTTAAAGTAATTTTGCTAGTATATTTGAAAGATGTGGTGATGAAACAATCATGTTCTTAGAGGTAGAACGTTACAGAAAATAATTTTCCAAATATTATAACTAACTACAATGGAATTGCCGTTTCTGGTCCAAAATCTGGATCTAGGAACTTTGCAGAAGGAATCAATTAAAGTATTCAGGTATGAAATCTCCTCTTTATCTTAGCAAAAAGGCACCAGGTGTTTGCAAAGCCAGAATGCTCCACTAGTAGCAAATATTGGTAGCAGTACCTTTACCTGCAGCCTGCTGAGCCCATGTAATAGGAGCATTGGAGGAACTGTCATGAACTACTGCCACTTCCTTTCCACTCCAAACCCTCCAAGCTCTTGCTGACTCACTCATGCCAGAAGAAACTGGCAGAGGTAAGAGTCCTCTTGTAAACCCACTGTACTTACCTCCCTTGTGAGCAATAGCATGATTCTGCTTACTCTCTTTGTGGATTTCTCAAGTATGTTTTCATCTAAAATGCAAAGCGATTATTTTACCTTTAGGAAATTCCTTGAGGCTTGTGTAGCATTTGATCTTCATTAGAATTTATTTCATTATACTCATGCTAAATCTCTGTGAGAGTTTTGTATAATAGCAATGAGGCAGCTGTCAACTGGAAAGGCCAGTGTAGGGCATGGTAGTAATTCAATGGAAATCCTGGATGTTTCCTCAGGTAAAAATTTTGTAATGTACTTTTTGTTCATTTGATGCTGCATTACTAATGAATTATGAATATCACTAAATATTTCTAATATACACATATTTATAGAGAGATTTCTTTATGGAGGTTTTCAAATAAGTTGTTATTTCAGGGCCAAAGATACCACGCTTTTTGATTAACAACCTGTTTCAAAATCTGCTTTACTACTTCTTATCCACGTTTGAGGTCTCCTAATATGTTGTGATTCTACCATTCCAACAGCAGTCCAGTTACAATAAACAGATT